TACTATAATATTGTGACTGTGTTCTCATTTGGTTTTCTTTGTAAAATAGTATTATATTTTGTTATGAACCACTTCTTCTTGCTCAATTTTTAGATTGTGGCATATTTTGTCCTTACAAAAGAACACAACAGAACATCTTTTTACATAAATCCCTGCACGGGTCTGATTTGTTTTCTTGGAACAAATTCCTGGAAATAGAATTACTGATTTGAAGAGATTCAACTTCATTAAATTTCTTGATTATATGTTATCATAAAAACAACAAACATTAGTAAGAGTTAATAGAAATTCAAGCTTCTAGCATTGAAATACCTAGCGAATAATGTCTCAGGGATATATCGTCTATAGAGATGGGTAAGGTCAGAAAGGGCTCCAGTTATTTTAGCATGTTTAGGAGATGTTTGTACACCTTTCCTGTATTTGTGATTTACTTCAGGCATTATTTCATTGATAATGTTTACACAACATTAATCCAGCTTGGTAAAATAGCTAGTGATAATGTTCTCAGGTGTAGTAGCTGTATTGATGCACGCTCTGGATTGCAAAGGTATGTGGGTCAGCAGTTGCTCTGCTTGTCTTTTATGCTATTAACGACACTGGAGTGCCATATGACCTTGAGGAGACTAATGGAATTACGTTGGCCTGGAACCCACGAAATTGAGCCAGATGCACACTTAGTCTGTGAACCATCCTGGAGTCCCTGGGGTTGCAGGTCTGGCACAAGGTTAGGAAATATTGCTTCGCAGCCAGCCAGATAGCTCAAACAACTAAAGCACCTGCGTAGGCAGGATGGGGACTGGGGTTCAATCCCTGGTGTGCCATGCTGGCTCCGCTCCTGGGGCACACTGAGACAGCCAATAAGGCTGGGCATGGTGGTACACACCTGTAATTCCAGCACTTGGAGGCTGAAAACAGAAAGATCACTACGAGTCGGATTTGTGTGGTGACACCCTGTAGACCCTGTACTAAATACATTAAAAAAAAAAAAAAAAAGAACAAGAAATATTCTTGTTCTATGCCAGGCTCTTGGAGGTACCTCTAAACACTCTGAACATCTTGCACCCAGCACCCAATAGTGTGCTATGCAACAGGTCTGCCAGACTCCAGGTGCTTTGCAGTGTGTGAACATCCCAGGCCAGTGTTCACAAGGGCCCACACACTCTTGGTCATTTATAAGCAATCTTGAAAATGTTAGTAATTTTTATGGTTGCTACCTATGACACCTACTAGTTTTGCATTTATGCAGCTTGGTTTTATAAACAAATATGTTTTAAACAACTGAGTAAAGAAGGAAACATAACACATCAGTAGATATAACAGGAATGGTGAAGGTGACACTGTGAGATGGCAGACACAGTCTCCTGTGACTATGAAATTGCAGGGCATGGTTTTATGGAATGACACCATTGTTCCCATGGTGTACTCTGATATCTTGTATCCTCCTGGGTAGAAGCATTCATAAGGAGAGTTAATGCTAAATTAGGATTTCTGTAGTTCTTTGGTTATTTGCCCCTCAGATGTGAGCTCCTCAGTAGCTGTTTTTCTTGGCTCTTTAGTATTAGAGATTTTCATGCCAAATTACTTCTTAATAATGCATCTGTGTATCCACTACTTTACATTTTAACAAAGTGTTAAAACAGGAAAACAGCTGCCCCAGGGTTCACAGATACATTCCAGGACACATGACAGTGGGGCGGGTTGTCAGGAAATCCACATCCACGTCCTCAACTTCCTTCTGTGGCTTTTCTCCATGGCAGTTCCTAAGGACAGGCTTTACTGGCTCCTACTGAGACTGACCTTTTTCCCATTTGTAGTAGAAAGATCTGCCACCACCCTCCTGATTCTTTCAAGGCTCTTCTCCAGAGTGGGAACTCAAGGGGCGTCAAATCAATGGACCATTCCAAATGGTACTGCCCAGGAGGTCCCATAAATCCCATCCTTCCTTCATGGGAAGAAATTGATCCAAGAGAAATGTACCCTTTGCTTACTAATTATTTATCATCCACTTATTGACCAGTTAGATACCAATAATCACATTTAGCCAACTCTGAATTCTTTTTATTAATACAACTTTAAGTTCACTTAAACTTGCACACTTTTCTGAAAAGTATCAATTTATACACACAAATGTATCTTTTGTTGCAGCAAAGTATGAAAAACTAATGACTAAAAATTTACAAACATAATATATTGCATTAATAAAAATTCTATGGAGAAGTAGAATGAAAAGATAGCTCCAGGTAGAGAAGTACTTTAAGATTTGACTTAATCGATTGTGAGATTTTCTTTTTAGTAAGCAGTGGTTGATTTCAAATTGCGATATGTATAACTCACTGAGTATATTTGAAAGAGTTATATACATGTTTTATTTTAAGGTGCTGGTATTTGTAGTATATCAAGTTATGTAAAGGATCAGAGTGTAGTACATCAGGCTATGCAAATTCTTTTAGAAGTATGCAAATAAAATGTTTGGGAGTTCATGATATACACAGAGTCCCTTGAATCAGAGTAGGAGGGAAGCTTCAAGACTGGCTCAGTCATCATGAGCCACGATGACCTCGTTAGCAGCATGCCATTGTGTCACCCAGGGCTCTTTGGACATGCTCCTGACACTGAGCTCAAACTCATGAGCTCAGAGGGATGATGGCCTAAAACTGGGGAACTGGTTCCCGATCTTGGCTTTGCTGCTGCTCTGGGCCATCTCTGGCAACTCGTGTCACCTCTTTGGGCCTTGGCTTCCATATTTGTCAGGGAGAATTAACCTTTATTGTTTTTCTTAGAAAGTTGAGTTAAAGGTGAAAACCTCCATCCTGCTCTGGATCTTCACATGGAATTGAAAAACTCTGCCTCATGTCAGCCTTTTAGATATTTAACATTTTCCTCCAGTCTTCCTATTTTATAATGTATGCTGTCTCTCAACCTGACATCTTCCCAAAGCTGCTGCTGATTTTCTCCAGGCTAACAGTTT